ATATATATAGTAGCTCTATATTAACTAAAATAATAGATACAATTAAATAGGTACAAACCCAAACTTCTCCTAATGTTAGCTAATTCTGATCTTACAGTCACTAATTCCTGTGCTGACTTGTCTTTTTGTTTGACGCTTGCATCCAGTTTCTGTGACTTTTCGTCCGGATCACAGAAATACTTAGGTTTATTGTAAGGCTTCTCATAGGCCTCCAGTGCCTTATATCGCTCGTATCGTGATCTCTCATTGTTTCCTAACTCCATGACTGATTATTTCCGAATCGCGTAATTATACTCGAATGCGTTTAATCATAGATCTGTAGATGAACTTTTGTGTAATATATACTTTTGGAACTTAAAGTAACATAAGTATATGTATGATATTTGACGAAAATTCTAATACAATCTATAGGAATAAAAAACAGACCTCATGACGGCGACCAATGACGACGCTCCGACTCGTCTTCAACAATTCTTCTTCTTCTTAATTAGTTAATACTCTTAATAACTCTTCACTCGTCTGCCTCCACTCGTCTACAATGTCTACATCCAAGTTGATCAAAGTTTACGTTGCCACTAATGCCACTGAACCGCACTGAACTTCTAACGGTCACAACCAACTTCGTGCGTACAATTTAAATATAATACGCTGCTTGCGACGTCAGAGTGCGCGCGTGATTTTAGTGAGAGGGGTGATCTCTGGTGATCTCTAGCGATAATTTAATGGGAAAAAGTCGATAAAGTAGATGTATAGATATAAGTATTATATCGCAGATTACGTTTACGTGAAATGGTAAATGTTTAGTGTCACATTTCCCCTTCGAGTTTTCTGTAATTTTGTAAATTTGTATATTTTTACGTGTAGAATATATTTCGAAAAGGAAAATCACATCGCTCAAGCCCTATTTCTTTTTTTATAATTTTACAGTTTTTTAGTCAGTAAATGAGAAAATGATAATTTAATTCTTTGCTTTAATTAATTAAAAATATATTATTTTTTTATAAAATTTAAATTATAGCAAAGAATGGATTGTAATTCATTTCTTTTTTATCCTTTTTTATCCTTTTTTGAGATATAAAAAAAACATTGAAATAAAAAAAGGAAATGCGACTTGAACTTTTTCTCTACAGTACAAGTTGCACAAAAGTTGCAGCAACACTACTGCAACATTGCAGCGACATGTTAATAGCAGTGATATTGCTGCAAATTCTGTGCTGTGGGAATTCCATCTCGATCAAAATCTTCGCATAAGTACACATATTTATAAAATTATAGGAAAATCGGAAAGAGACAATAAACATTTACTAAACATTTACTCATAAAATATTTACATATTGGTATATTTACATTAAGTTCATATCGAATCTTTTTCATTTAAATAATACGACTAATGTAAAAAACATGACAGAATTAAGTTGATTGTTAACATGCTGACTTTAATATTGATAAATAAAAATATTTAAATGAGAAAAAAGTTTTGGTATTGTGTAATATAATGACAATGAATATAAGCTTAAATCATCCATAAATTGTTAACACAGATGATATGTAAAATAGTTACATAAAGATATAAATTATTACATTTCAAACGCAACAATTGCTCAACATTGAAAAAAATCTTAAGAAACTACAAGATAAATTATGAATTTAAAACAAAATTAAATTGATCTTTTAATAAAAATGCATCACTAAAGTTAAAGAATCAATTATTGAAATAATTTTCAACACACGCACACACGCACACACGCACGCACGCACGCACGCACGCACGCACACACGCAAACACGCACACACGCACACACATACACACACATCAGTATATATTATAATTAAATATTCTTTTAAGTATTTAATGAAATATCTGTGATTATTTAAATATGTTTAGGATATAGGGAAAATAAGATTATACGCAGAAAATATAGAAAAGAAAGGTATTCAATACAAACGAACGTGGCAAGAGTATACTGTATTTTGTCCTTTTAATCATTATTATTCGAACCGTTACTTACAAATCAAACTGTGATTGTGGTTCTTCCTGCTAATCTGTCAATATGTCTCATGTAACTTTGTGTGTGTGTGTGTGTGTGTGTGTGTGTGTGTGTGTGCATGTGTGTGTGCATGTGTGTGTGTGTGTGTGCGTGTGCGTGCAAATTGTGTGTGGATATGTATGTTCTCTTTCATGAAATTACATTTATCGTCTATTTAACATTTCTTAGCAATACCATTAACGCCATCGTTATTGATATTATCATTAATTAATAATTACTTTGATACAATAAGGCGTTATATACGGTAGTAAATAATATATATAATAATATATAACTTTATTATAATTTTAAATACATGAGCATAATAAATTTAGCATTTGAGGCGATAATTAAATTATTTCGTTGTTTAATTTAGTAATTGCTCTATGATTTTGTATGATTTTACGAGAGGAGGTTTACGCTCTATAAAATCGAACGTACATTCCATCAATAAAAACATTTTTAAATAACGCAGAGTGAGTTTTTTTTATTTATATTTATAGACGCGTAAATATAATCGTTAGGATGCATATATACAAAATATGTACAAATATAGGTATTTTAGTTTTATTCTTTCGTTATCACTCTCCTTTCATTTCTAACGGCCAACATCTACATCGTGGATTTCTTGATATATACATAATATGGCATCCGTTATCTTGGAGATATCTCTCAAGCTATCAACGATCTGAATTAACAATTAAGATCTTTCTATTTCCCGTATTAACACTAAGATGATCAAGCTTGTTTTGAATGCAAACAAAAATTTCCTTAATTTTTTAATTAAAAATTTTAAATTAAGAAATTTGTATGTAAAACAACATCGAAAAGATTTCCTTTATCTACACTGCATTAAAAATTTTATCGATCTTTAATTAATTATCAAAATTTTTATCATTTAGAACAATCGCAAAAATGATCGTTCTAGTATTAAAAGCGACGTCCAGAAATTTCTCTTTTCCGCAATATTTTTATTATATTTAAGTTTATTATGTATGTTTTTATTATTATATATTTTTATTATTATATATTTTTATTATATATTTTCATCATCGCAATTGATGAACATTTTGTTTAAAGTAACACAACTTTCATTCTGAAATCCATTATTACGATAAACTTTTCTTTTATTTCCAAATAAAAAAATTGACATTATAAAATCATCTAGACAAATGCAATAGTAAAATAAAGTGTCTATGACTGATGTTCAAAAATATTATTTCCTATATAGTTTTATTAATATTGAAAGTATAGGTATTCATGTTTGAATCAGATATGTAGATATTTACTTTGAATCTTAAAAAGCAGTTATTAATTTGAATTATCAAATTATTATTTATTTGCGGAGTATTTTTTGTTGTCGCGCTTCTGTCTGAATGCTCATATATCCACGGTGTGATAACATGAGCAACATAACGACGTGAGAGTTTATATTGTCTGGTAAATCGTGATACAACTATCGAGGTTTATTACAAATAATTATAATTTAACCATCTTACGCCAGTATCAATATGGCAAATATATATATTACTATGCAATATTAAAAAACTATGCAATCTAAGGAAAAATTATCTTTTATTTATTTATTGCAAAAGAGAGAAGAACCATCTCCTCGTCAATTGTATCACGATATCCTTGTATCGGATACCCTGTATATATTAGCGGCACTTTTCTCACGCGACTAATTCAACAATAAGGCACATTGTTGCACAATCTGCTGGTAAAGGAGTGTTTGCAGTTCGAGACAAAAATCATAATGTCGTTCTATACATACAAATCGCCGAAAATAACATCATGATCTCTTTGTGATCACTCCGTCCTTTCAATTTCTTGGCACCTACGGCCTCAAAAGTACCACAATCTGAAATCCCGGATGATGAAGGCCTACGTTCATCTGAGAACGATTGGGAAAAGGCAGTCTGTTTTTATAACTTTGCCAAAAAGAACGAAGAGAGAATTATTGATAATTTGGAAAATTCCATAACTAAGACTAAAAAAATAAATTGCTGATTAATTTGCTGCTTGGAAAATTAACGAGTAAAACTTGTGCGAGTATTTTGTTTTATTGAAATTCTAATTTAAAAAAAAATGCAAAATCTGAGCATAACGAAGAATTTAGCTTTGAAAGTTTCGTCAAAATTGGTACGCACGAAGGACACTTGAATATTTATTTTCACTGGATTTATTCGTAACCCGGAAAATCAGAATTAGGAAACCAAACGCGTTATAAAACGGCGATACCGGAGTCGGAGCAAAATTCGCTAGCCAACCTGGGCGGAGCCTTTTTTCGTTAGACTTTCAAGTCGCAGACCAGCTGCTCGGTGGGTCATGTGCTCCGATGCACAGAGGGAACGAATGACGCGACATGCGAGGATGTCGCAGTCGCGATTCCGCGACATAGACTCAGACGAGTCGGATTAAACAATTAAATAGCCTATCGTAAGGAGTATCGTTTAAATAATTTACGTTTCTGTATATATACACACAATCATGCCCGTGTTCGCGTGTAATTCTCGCTGCTGCGTTCATTGAAGAGTTGCTTCTGACATCCAGCATTGGCACATGCACCGTTATCACTGGTCATTGATCATATCGTCGGTTACAGCAGTTTTGCAATTTCGACGACAATACTTTATGCATTTTTTCGAGCTTTTTGATGCGCGTATTTTATAATCTGCGCATGGCACCTGGGATTCAGAATTAGGAGACCGCGGCTTTGCAATTATTATTTCTCTTTCTCTTTCGTCTTTTTCTGCTACTTCAAATTCAAAGAGAAACATATCTATGAACGCGGAATTGCAGCTCCATCACGCGATAGCTGATGATAAAACTGGGACATACGCGATTTTTTTCCGGTCTTCATACTTCCACACCGAGGACCCGATCAACAACATATTCGTACCTCTTCGGCTCTCCATTGCCATTCTTTTCAGTAGATTTCGGTAAAACCTCCCTCTCGCCGTTTTCTGAACTTCGCGCTTCGGTCTCCACCGGTCGACCTTTAGCATTCACAGATTTACTGTCGACATTGGACAATGCGACTTCGTCTGCGTTGACAATCACGGCAACAACATTTGTGGCACTTCGATCCGTGACACTGCTGCTCTTCGTGACAGGCAATGCACTTCCACCGGAAATGTTGTTCGATCGCGTTGTTGAAGTTATAAAAGAACTAGTGACAGGCTCCGATGCGTACTTTCTGTGCGTGTGTGATGTCGAAGAACATATACTTTCAGCCCCGAGTTCCTCAGGTGGTAGAACAGGAACATTCAAATTCACTCGCGTAAAGAAAGCCATCTTTTCTCTGGAAAAAGATAATGTTAATTTATCAAATGATCTTTATAAAAGATAATATTTTTTTCCTATTAATCTTTATATAATCTTCAAAATTATCAAAAAGTTACAGATTTTCATCGCGATTCAATTTATTCGAAGACATAACTTTTGATTAACACTCAAAAATTAACATTTTGGATTAATAGTTATTTCGGACATCAATTACTTCATTATTTTAAGTATTATGAGATATTATAGATATTCGAATCCAAATCACAAAAAACTGAAAAAAAAGATAATAATTTTGCAATAAAGAAAAACTTGTCACTTACTTGAAGGAAATCATATCGGGTTTTCCCTTCCCAGCTTTTGTTTTCCTCAACTTGTAAATCTCTTTTGAAGTTTTCTTTAACATCTTCTCCACTTTCTTATCCTCAAGGCTTTTACCGTTCTTGCCACTTTCGGCCTGTGCTATGAGATTTTGAAATTTCTGATCTTCTAGCAGCCATGTTGCTAAGTCGGTATCGCCTCTTTCACGCGCTTGTTCTAGTCGTTGTTTCAATTCTCGTAACCTACTAAGCTCATCTTGGAGATTATTCAGTTTAGCATGCTGCGCCTGGAGATCTAATTCGAGGTCCAAAGACGTTCTGGCTGTCGGCAGTAAATGAGACGACTTCTTCGTGGTTTTGTAACTGAGAGCGGAGGACGGTCGACGCCATCGCAGGGAACGTCTTTCTACTGAGTTCCGTTGGAAAGGTCCACCTCTGCGATAAAGCGGCATACTACTGTCGCTATCGCTGCGATTAAGCTATATAAAACAAGAAAAAAAAATTTAATTCAGGAAAAAAGACAGATTTTTTGCCAAAACTCGCATTTAAAGGTATATAAAGAATTCAATATAAATTCATGAAAAGCAAGTAATAAAAATTCTTCAATTTTTATTGAGGATTTATCGAAATTTTAAATTCTTGTTAAAAACTTTTTTATTCTGTACAAAATTTTGTATGGAAAAAGTAAATATATCAAATATATAATAGTCAAGAAAATTTGATTAAAACTTACTCGACAAATGTAATGATTTCTACTAACGGCTGCACTAGGTGAGAATGTTTGACTTCTTTTAATCACAATAGAGTTTTTGTCATCATGAATAGCGCCGGGTGCAACACCAGCCGCAGAAAGTTTTCTTTGCTTGCCCTGTTCCGGAATAAACACGCATTCAGTGTTTGTTTCTTTGTCCTGCGTTTGCCTCATTTCCTCGTTCAATTCTTCGTCTTCCTGTTATATTATAAATGGAAAATCGTTACATTTAGAATTGATATTTTCTTAATAAAAATTCCTATAGTCTCGACAATAAACAATTTAAGATTCAGTGCAAGTAATTTAATTCTCATAAAAAAATAATGCTAATCATAATGGTGGTAAAAAAATATTAAGACTTATTAAATCAATGACTTTTAATCGCTTGATGTCCACGATTCATCTGATAGTAAATTCAAAGCAATCGAAACATTAAATAAATATCATTTATATAGCAACATTGCTTACCTCGTGCTCCAAAACATCCTCTAGAATATTATCCTCCACCGTAAATTCTACAATGATATCTTCCTCGTCGCTGTCCTCGCTTCCACTTTCACTACCATCATCCTCATCCTCTTCTTCTGGACTACGTAGACAATTCAGCTCTTCCAACCTTAACGTTACGGCTGACTGCAACTCGTCTTGATTCCTTGTCAAGGTGGACGTTTGGGAACTGATTATCGTACTCTCGTCACTACTCTCTTCTTTCATATTTTGTACGCTCCTGTATACCGAAATATCCGATTCCTGCTTGTCATGCTTCGTCAATCTGACGTTCATAGAGGTGCCGTTGGTACTGGTACCGGGACTATCAGATGGATGCATGAAGCGGAAGGAGAGTATATTATACCATTTCACGCTAGGAGATTCTGGACTAAAGTCTGCCAACGAGACTTGTGCAGAACCCTGTAATCAAATCAGTAAAAGACCAGAATGACAAATGACTATGTTCTCTCTCAATTTAGCAACACTTATAACTTTTTTTTTTCAAGAATATATGAAAATTTTTGTCAATAAAGAATTGAATATTACTTCTCCAAGTGTATCTCAGATTTTCGATCATAATACACTATTAAGTGAACATCGTGATAAAATTATCTCGGAGTGAGGAATGAAACTTGTCACATAAATAAAATAAATTTCAAAAAAAGTATACATACCAAACATTTCTCGGCCTCGGTGCACCAAAGTGTAACTTGCAGTGTTTTCGTGTACAATTTGTTAAGCGGCACGGCGATCGGAAACGTTTCGCCGAAAGTCGGTTTTCGCAAGTCCACGACGGATTTCGTGCAACACGTATGATTGATGGGTAATTGCATCGGCAGCAGTGCGGCTTTGATATATCTAAAATGCGAAATAAAAACGTTATTTTTATAGATAAAAAGGCATTTCAACGCGTAGTTGTACTTTCAGGTCATGGACTCTTGCGAGCTATCAATTATTCTTTAAAAGAATATTCAGACGAAAACAAATAGAATTC